ATTATTATTATTATTATAGATAATATTATTATTATATATTAAAATATATAATAATAATATTATCTATATAAATATTATTTTCTATATTAATATTATCTATATAATAATAATATAATTATTACATACAATAGTAAATATATATAATACATCTTATTTAATAGTTCATACAATAAATAATTAAATAATTTTCAGCATCGTAATAAAAAAACTTATGAATTGTACGCACCAATTGTTCATCTTATAAAAAGTTCAGGTATTGAAGGTTTAAAAAAAATTTTAAAAAGATTTAATTCTGAAATACAAGATGAGAATGAAAAAACTGAAATAACTAAATCAGAAAATAAATCATTGAATGCTGGTTTCTCTGTTAAATATTGTGGTTCTATATACATTGGTACAAAAGGGGATGTTAAACAAATAGAAAGAGCAATTTTGCAAGTATTAAAGTCAGAAGAAATAAAATCAGTGCCTGTGAAATTTGAATGCCTGGAACTAGGAATTAGAGTGACTCAAGATTCAAATGACATGGTATGTAAACAATTTTTATCACATATAAATATATAATATATAGTATATAGTATCATAATAATATATTTTAAATGTTTAGGTGATATGTAAACAAAGTTACATGGAAATTTCATCTTGTGGTCGTACAGGAAACATTCCTAATTATTTTGCATTTATTTCAGGGTAAAACAAATATTTGTTTTAATATAAGCAATAATAATTAACATAATTTTGTTATATTAATATAATAATTAAATTTTATTGTAATATTTATATTAATATATTTCTTATTTACTTTAGAGATACTAATTGCAATATAGCAACTAAATTTGATGCATATGTATTTTATCATCAAAATGAAAATGAAGTGCAAACTATATTACAAAGTTTGGGTCAAGGATTTCAACGCACTCATTTTGCAGTTTAATTTAAAAAAATTATTTTACATGAAATTATTCTTTAATGATATAATCAAACTTTATGTAATTAGACATTTCTAGCACATTTTCATTCATTCACATATCTAGTCAACTATTAATGAATTGTATTTTTTATTTATTCTAATCCTTAAGAAATTTCCCTCCCTAATAAAAAATGTTCATTAGAATTAAGTGATTTCTTTTAAAAAATAAATAAAATTAGATGTTTCAATTATTAGAATAAAATAAGAAATTGATATTATATATATTTTTTGATTAAATACATAACTGTATGTATTTAATTAAATAAGTTATTTTTATTATAGTTTAAATATTTCCTTTAGAATAAAAAAATAAATTATTAACATAAACATTTATTAGATAATCAAGCCTGTATATATACAAATAATTAAATAAATTATATACATATGCATGATTGAATTTTATATTTTTGTAATATAATAAATCTTAATTATTTAAAAAAAGACAATTTTTTTTTCATGAAAGCCGAAGATTAACTTGTATCATTTTGAATGGCATGCATATACTACATATACATATATAAGAAATATATATGTATATATACATATAACCTCTTATGTTGTGTTTGTCAAATTGAAGCTGCTTCCAAACAAGATAAATTTATCAACTACCTTTTTACATACATGCATGCTAATACATATATATATATATATATATATATTTTATACGCGAACTATACATATACACATTATAAATGTATATATACATATATATATCTATATATATATCTTAATAAGAAATTAAATTTAATTTTATTTTGACAGATGCTTTGAAATGACGATTGAGGAATGAACAATTCTCGATTTGAAACAAGTCGATAACAACTCGATCGGTGAGAACAATCAAAAGGCATCTCAAATCGGTGGATTTTAAGTCGGGGTTGGGGTCGGGTTCGGGGTCGGAGTCAAGTTCCTTGCTTGCGACGTGCGCCGTAACCGTTGCGCCGTGTAACCTTCTGTCAGCCGTCGTCGGCAGAGAGCGAGTACTCAGTGATTAGAGGAAAGATGGCTACGAACTTTGGCGTAGAGTGCCAGTACTTTTACGAAGATGTTGTCTATCGTGTGGATAAGAAAGGAAACGTTGTGTTTGGAATCGTTATGGAAAATGACGATCAGGATTTATCCGAAGAAAGTTCTGACAGCGAAGAGAGCCCGAAAAGAAAAAAGGGCGAGATTCGCGTGGTCTGGCATCCCTCCGGTGTCGAGGAATTGGTCAGCTCAAAGAAGGTATTTAATATTTAATATGATAAGAAAACATTTCTCTTAGAAATAACAGATTATATATTAAATGATTTTTAATATTTTATTATGTCATTTCTCTTCTTTTATTGTATTTGTTTTTAATTTTATGCAAAGCGACACCTGTCATGCCAATGATATCTACAATTGAATGTTACGTTCAAATTTGAATCCATATTTGATATATTAACGGTGATTTTTCATTGTTATAAAAGTTACTTTTTAATTTATTTTTTATTTATAGGTACATTTAGCAGACAGAACACTTATGCCAGGAGATGTTGTACGTCGAATGATTAAAGGAAAGGATACACAAAGAGGATATTGTAGGGATATTGAGCTTACTGCCTGTGTTCAAGTGATTGGTACTAAACAAGTCCTTACCAATATTAGGAGTGAAGATTTAGTTCCTTTGGAAGTATGTAATCGTGCATTTATAATGCTTATTTTACTATAAAATTAACTCATACATTTATCTATAGGAATTTGCAACAGATATAGCTGTTTGTATGGATTCATGGGTTGGTGGTATAAAAATGGCAAATTTTAAATTATGGCTTACTACACCTGATGGATCTCGTTGCGTTATAAATGAAACAGATTCTCGTGTCTTAGGACAATTAGAGGAGAGACGTGACAATGTAAGAATCAAATCCAGAATAATCGTTTGATCAAAAATACAATAAAAATTTTTTAGGACAATGATTTTCCTCATTCTTCTGAATTTTATCCTGGTCAAAGTTTATGGGGACCAGTTCACTGCCTAGAAGATGCACAATGGATTACATGTACAAAAGAAATGAAAGCAAAGAGAAAATCTAAGCCACAGAAATTAACAAAAGTAATTGTAGAAAAGGTAGAAACAGATTGGGTAGGAGTGCATTGGCAGTGTAGAGCATATTCAAAGGATGGTGCTTGGTCAGATCAAGCTCAGCCAAAATTTGTAGTTCAAGGAGAAAATTTGAAAAAATTAAAATTATTGAATGTTTTTGAACCATCTACTGTGCAAGTAGGGGATCGAAATTTCTATGTGATTAAAGGTGATGAAAATGTCATTACAAGAGAACAATGGAGAAAGCAACAAAGAGACATTTTTCAAGTTCCTAAACATAGTCCAAAGAAAACACGTCCAAATATCAGTGTTACAAAGCCAGCTGAAGATAAAAAGAAAGAAAAAGACAAAGATAAAGTTAATGAACAACAAACAGAAGAAAATGCTCATAATAATATTAATAATTTACAAAATATAACAAGCAATAATACCTTAATGCCTCCAGTACAAAATCAGAATACTGAAAGTTCAGATGATTGGGATACAGAAGATACTGGATCGCAAAGCGATAGTGCTTCAGTAAGATTTTTTCAATCAGATTTTTTTAAATTGTTATACAATTTTTTTAAATTATTATACAATTTATAATAAACTTAAAAATTAATTAATATTATTATGTAGGTATCCAGTGGATGTTCTAGTATGTCATCTATGGGTAAAAAGAAAAAGGGTCCAGCTTTAATGACAAAGGTATTAAAGAAGAAGAAGCTTTGTAAAGCAAGAAAAAAAGTTCCACCAGTCCCACTAATTGCAGGAACTAAAATTGTTGTTGAAACATTATCTACAAGTACAAAAGCTAATGTTGTATGGCAAGATGGTTCAGTAGAATTTGGTAAATTTTATAAATCTTTTTTCTTGCATATGATTAATTTTTGTCATTATTTGTTATATTTTTTAGTAATATAAAATTTGTATAACTTTTATTTTTATTTTAGGTATTCCATCAACACAACTTTATCCAATTCATCATTTAGATGATAAAGAATTCTTCCCAGGTGATTTTGTAGTTGATCAAAAAGAAGAATCTAGAATGTATGGTGTAGTTCAAAGTGTTGACCATCAAGGTAGAACAGCTAAAATAAAATGGTTTAAAACATACACTTCTACTCAAAGTCCCCAGTAAGTATTTACAACTAATATATTCTTAATTGAATCAGTTTTATTAAAAAAAATATTAAAACCACATAAATATTTTGTAGACCAACTTTACTAGAAGAACGTGAAGTTAGTGTATATGATTTAAAAGATCATCCAGATTTTCAATATAGACCAGGTACATTAGTAATTCGAATAGCTAATTTTGAAGGTGAAGATGCTGGTTGTACTGCTGGTCAAGTTCTAGATAATTATCCAGAAGGACGAGTTAAAGTGTGGTGGGTTGATGGACATGTAAGTATGTGTTGGCCTCAAGATTTGTATAAAGTAGGTGAATATGATAGTGACGAAGGAGAACTATGGGACGATGTATCATCTGACGCATCATGGGAAACAGAATTGGAAGACTGCTTTATCGCTGATACAGATGGTACAGAACAAACAGAATTAGAAAATATAAAACCAAAATTGGCCGCACACATCGAAAAAGCTCGCATTGCAATGTCTAGATTGGAAGAAATTTTTACTCAAAATCCTTCACTTCAAACAACTGAAGTTATGAGAAAATTATTAGAAGTTTATAAAGATTGTCGATACATGGATAAACTTATGGGTACTTCTTTCTTTCACGAATGTCATTTTCAAGGACTTCTGGAAAGAGTTCGAGAACGTGGTCGAGCAAATGTAGCACAACGCATGGCGGATCAAGTAACAAGATTATTTACACATAAATCTGATGGATCGGAAGAAAATATAGATAAAAACAGTACAGAAAATTCTAATAATATAGTACAATCAGGAAGTAATCTTTGTGAAAAAATTATTACTACTGTAACAGACATGACAGAATCTACGGAAAATAAAAACGACGAAATTACCAATAAAAAAAATATAAAAGATGAAGAATCAATTGATCGTTTATTTATTAACGTTAATCCTAATCCTGAGGATTCTGGATTATATTCTGCAGAAAATTCAAAGAAAGAATCGGGTTCTAGTGAATCAAGTGGAGAATTTCTACTTAGCGAGGATGTAAATAATGTACCTGATCGTTCAGTAGAAAAATCAGAAACGAGTAAAATTTCCAAGTCTCAAATGCATATAACGAGTTCTCATGTAGCTAGTTCTCAAGTTTGTGTTAAATTATGTACTCTAATAAAAGCACAACTCGTATTGGCGCATGCAGAAGTTTCTAGACGATTTGGATTATCAAAGATGTCATTATCTGATGCTGAAAAGGGGTCGTCACCTCTGAAAAAACAAAAGAAAGAAGAAGAAAAACGTATAGAATTGTTACAAGAACCATCAGAATGTTCCATAGAAATCCCACCACCAGTATATGCAGAAGGGGAAGGATTTTCTATAGAAGAGACTGCACCAGATAGTCATAAATTTAAATTAACAATGTTTCAGCCTACAGATCCTACAAACTTTTTCAGAACTGTTTCTAAAGAATTAAAGCTTTTGAAGAGTTCTCTTCCACCTGGTATATGGGTAAAAGGATTTGAAGATAGAATAGACTTGTATTCTGTAATGTTTCGTGGACCTGAGAAAACACCATATGAAGATGGTCTTTTTCTTTTTGATTTTCAATTATCCGCTGATTATCCTGCTGCTCCACCACTTTGCCATTATATTTCTTACTGTAATGATAGGTTAAATCCTAATCTATACGAAGATGGTAAAGTATGCGTAAGTTTACTCGGAACTTGGTCTGGTCGTGGAACAGAAGTATGGACAAGTTCTTCAACTTTATTGCAAGTTATAGTCTCAATTCAAGGCCTTATTCTCGTACCCGAACCATATTTTAATGAAGCTGGATTTGACAAACAAAAAGGTTCTCAACAAGGAAAAGAAAATTCAAGAATGTATAATGAAATGGTTGTATTGAAATTGGTTCAAGCTCAAACTAAATTATTACAACATCCACCTCCTGTATTTAAAGATATTATCATTGAACATTTCAAGAGACATGCAAAGAAATTACTGCAACGTTTAGAATTGTGGATGGAAATTTCTGAACAACATAATAATCAACATCCATTATCTCCAGTAACACCTACTACTTTTAAACAAATATCTGATGTTGGTATGTAATTTGCAATTCCTTTTTTTTTTTTTTTTCTTAATTAATCTACATTAAAATATCCAGTATTTTTAATAGTTTTTTTTTTAAATAAAATATAATAATAAATTCTTATTAATGTTTTAGATAACAAAATTTTACCAGAATTTCCATTAATACCAGCATCCAGAGGTTTCTGTATAACACTCCGTAAAACTTTAGCTACATTTAAAGAAGTATTGATTAATGAAAATATTATAGAAAGAAACAGCGATATATATGGTTGCGAAAATTTGAAAGAACAAACAAAGAATGAAAATTATGAAGCAAATAAAATTGCTGATAATAACATAATGGAACATAGTAGTAAAAAAAGAAATGAAGAAAACAAATTAACTCCAAACGGTAATCTATCGAAGGACCGTATTTCATCTTCCTCGACGAATATTTGTTCTACGCCATTAAGTGAAACGAAGAAAACTACGTCGGATCATACTATCAGCTAGCCACAAGGTAAACTTAAATTTAAACTTAAAAATTTAGTTCGTAAAAGATATACGATTATTCGGTAATACAATAATTTATTATATATATATATATAATATATGTATATGTATATATATATATATGTATATACATATACATATATTATATATATATATATATATATACATATGTACATGTATTAAAGATATGTTCAATGATGTTCGCGGTATCTATTTATTAATATGAACACCACTATTAACCAGCGATAACTTTTAACAGAAATGCCGCTGTCATTGCTCCGCAGCTAGAGATACGTAACGTAATAAATGCGATCAGATAGGCACGTATGAGCAAATAAGAACTTGTTCTTGTATACAATTTCATAAATTTCTGAATATATATAATATAAAACTTAATTTATGTGATGTTATATAGAATATATAATAATAAAAACATATTATATATAATATATAATATTATAATATTTATGAATATAAAATTAATATTTGGGATAAAAAATATATACGAAATATCTTACATATATTTAATTCTCTAATTCTGCAATGAAAATAGAATAGCGTTTTTGCAAACGCAATAATAAACTTGACTGAATTATTAAAAAAAGGAAACATGAAGAGAGAAAATAATTTCAAGTATATATAATAAACGAAAAAACATTATCACTTTATAAAAAGTGATAAGAATTAAAATGGAAAATAAAGTAACCAGTAGCAATACGTTGAGCCAACATAAGAACACTTTGCAATAGAGTTTAAGAAATACGATAATAATAGTTATTAATTCTAAATGCATTTCAATGAGTATTCTTCGAGTAATTCGAATAATAACTTCAACTAACTTATAAACAAAAATTCATTAAAATATTCTCAATTATCTTAAAAACCATTATGCCATCCAATAATACAATATTTCAAATGAAATTACGAAATGATTTTGATTGCATATAGGTTGTAGCTTAGGCACAAAAGATTCGTATTTAGATGAAAAACCTATGACAAGTAATGTCCAATGTTATAGACACTTCTAATGTAGGTAAATTATAGAAAATTATTAAATGTTCTATTATCTAAAAAATTTTTCTTTATTGGTAATTTGTTTCGTATATTTGTAG